ATCTATTAACATAAGATATTGATTGCTGGCTCTATCTATTTTGGTTATAAACCACTAAATAAAAGTAGCCAGGAAAATGACAGATTTTCTTGGGACAAACAAATTATTGACAAAAAAAATTAATTTTAACGAAGTTTTTGTAAATAATTCCCTCTGCGTATATTCTAGAAATGCTTACAACGGTTGAGATAAAAAAAATTAAAAATTGAAAAATTCATGGGAAGTTTTGAAGCTAGTTATTATTGGAAACATTGTTTGGGACATGCCAGGAAAATGACATTTTGATATTCAATTGAATTTTTTAACTATACAAAACAGTCAATGCTAGTGCAAAGTCATTTTAAAATGCTAACAGCAATGCTATTTATTAATTTTTTTAAAAAAACGTTATTTTAGTATTATAGTATTAGATCTTGGAGCAAGGGACAGTGAATTGTCATATTTCGTGAGAATCACCCATATATATATTTGGCACTTTAAATTTTATAAATTTTCGTCTTTTCTATTTAAAATAAAAAAAATTCTAAAAGGAATTTTTTGTAATTTTCCAGCTTATTTCACAGCATTAGTATTCAAAATGTAATTGAAAAATTTTGATATCGGAATTTAATAGGTTAAAACTGATCACATTAAATTAATACTGTCATTATATTGATTAGAAAAGTTACTTAATGAGCGAAATGACATATTATTTATTACTACTCCATTAAAAAAAAGAGTTATGGGTACAAAAGGCCGAATTAACTAAGAATTTAGCGTTTTGCTAATCAGCATTTAATGTTTGAGAGGAATATTTAACTTCGCAATAAAGTATTTTATCTTCATTGGTGACGATCGAATTAAACTGAAAATTCAGTTTTACTATTCAGTTCTATTCAAAGTGATTCTAATTAGGAATCAAGTCGTTCGAAATACATGAGCACCAAATATTTCTGCTTCGTTTAATTACTTAAATAACAATTCATTTCAATAGCCGAATTTTTAATTACTTGTGTAAAATGCAGAAACGCATTGAACAGCTGATTTCGCTGTCAAGGGTTTTAATCGCCAGTAAAAATTTCTGCTTAACCTGCCTTATTTAGATCACAATTTCATAAGCAATGCCCTCTAGTGTTGCGGCTTAGAGCAAATTAATCGATTATTTCTATCCTTGTTACATCCTATATTAGGAGTAGAAAATGTATCAGATTTGCAGCTTAGCATTTATAATGAAAAATGAATCTAAGCATAAAGAGAATAGAGGGTAATGAGTTAATAAATTTTAATTAAAGCACTTGCGTTCAATGAGGTTTTTAGAAGCCAATTCTCCAAAGTAAAAAATGATTGTTGAGTAGAGGACAACTGCTTTTTTAAATATTTTTTAATATTATATTACATTATTTAAAAATTATGTATGGAAAGACAAATCGTGTAATGACGGAGATGGGAAAACTTTATTGTCAAATGCGCAGTTTTTTCTTGAAATTGTGAATGAATAAATGTGACAGAATTTCGTTGATACGTTTATATTCTTCAAAGCTTGCGTGACCGTGCCTAAGACTTCAATACAAATCATAGAAAATATACAAACAACTTTAAATAGCGCATGATCTGAGCAGCCAATTCTGTTCCCGAAAGCAAGAAATCGCAGTGTCAGTAAATAACAGATACATTCTTAAAATATATCTGAAAAATGAAATCGTGCTTTATTCAATTGTGTGCTGCTCCACATTTAATAACCCTGAACTATAAGCTGTCATTCTAATTTTTTTTCGTTGGCCGCATTCTACAACAAAGGGTGTCTATAATTCAATCTTGCGTGAATTTTGAGATACTATTAAACACTTACAAACGAAAAAATAATTCGAAATATACTTTTGAATTTACATTTTTACAACACAAGCGAGTATTTTTTTTAGTACAATAGTTTGAATATACTATATGTTTAAAGTAAGACGTTTTGAGTTATCTAGCAAAAATGTGGGAAAAGTTTGATTTTTTATTTTTATTTTTTTTTTTTTTTTTTTAAAAAGGCTTCAGGGGTATAAAAAACAANTTAATTTTTTTTGTGAACTCATTTAGATGTTTACTGCAGACAGATTCGATATTTGTTCTCTTACAGATATTATTTTTATTTTACAGACGAGGATCATGGCGGCCCATAGGCCACATGCGACCTTCGAGCCCGTTATTGGATAGCGTCCGTGATACGTTTGAGGGTTTCGAACAACTTGCCCGAGATTTCGGAAGAGCTTTTCAAAACAACAGGCATTTATGTGACGTCATCTTTAACGTTGGCCAAGGTAATTTTCAAACTTTTAAAGAAATATCAGCTAAGAAAGCATTTTATGTAATCATGTATTTCTGATAATAAATTTATAAATGCAATTGCATTTTATTTTAAATGAAATTAAACACTTGATCAAATAAAAAAAACTTTTATTTAAACTTTTTTTTGTCTCTAAGAGGTTTCGTGTTAAATAGCTTCTGTTCCATAATTGAAGGATTACATTACCTGCTTGATTTTGTAAATTCATTCCATTTTTGCACGCATTCTTTGAGTGAAAGAAACTTTTAATTAAAGTATTTTTCGTAAAAGTTAGAATATTAATCTTCTTTCAAACAAACAAACGAATCTTATAAGTAGTCTGATTATTTCAGAATCTGATTGTTTTAGAGCAATTAGTCTGATTGTTTTAGAACAATTATCAAGTATTAATATCCAAGAATTGGTTCCTCTCTAAGAAACTTGCTTTACGGGGATTCAGAAGACGTCTAGTAAATACTTGAAGAATAGAAAACAAGATGTTTCGAGGGTACTCAACTGATTTTGCATTCCCCTTTTCCTTGATCTCGTAAAACGTTCGATTCCTTCAGTGGATGCATTAATTAATTGAATTAAATTTGGTTTGAATCTTCAGATTTTCTTAATGTATGCGAAAGCCATTAATTTCCATGATTTTCAAATCAATGAAATTTTTTTGTACTTAGTACTAAATTTTAAAAAAAAGCACGTGAACACATTTTCAGTAGCAGGATAGCCCATTAAAATAAGTACGTGGTTGTTCTTTATACACTATCATTAAATGTATTAATGTTGTTATAATTTAGATTTTCAAACATTTTTCATTAATAATATTTTTAGGTAAAGAAAAAACACGAGTCTATGCAGTACGAGCTATTTTAGGGGTTCGGAGCAGGTGAGATTTTTAAATATGAATTATGTTTTTGAAGTAATTTTTTTTATTTAATTTTATAATTTTAATTTTTTGATGTAATAACATAGAAAATATGAATAATCAGCACTGTAAAAATGGGCACTCAGATTTTACAAATTTTTTTTCGTTTTCGACGGAACCGTTTCTTGGTATATGCTCCGAGAAAACATTTCGTCTAAATGACGAAATAACTATAGTCACTTCTTCAAGGAAACGAATTTCGTGAAAAGTAAAGAAATGTTTCGTCATTCTATTTTTCTTTCAAAACACCTTTTTCTTCACACCTTGCGGCACTCGTAGTACCTCGTATCTAACGGGCGGTACTGTTTATCATTTTTCCGAGGACACCATACAGGTGATCAATACCGCCCCAACTAAACAAGGACAGATAGAATAGAGAGAAATACTACATCCATGCTTGAAGCGGGACTTGAATTCGGGATCTTCCTGGGACGAGGTTAATACCTTGACCACCATAGAGGCCAATGAACTTGATTTGTCATTCTAGTTTCGATCGTCTTATCTTCATTCTCATTATTAATCTCCCACAATACACTGCGATAAGGTTTAAGGTTCTAAGTTGAGGAAACATTTTCGTGATATATTTGAGAGTTCGCGTTTCGTCACAAATCATTTGATTTTGTATCGAAATGATTCTCAAAATTAACGAAATTCAGCTCAAAGATTGCTGAATTGCCAAAAGTGATGGAATTATTTATGAATTGAGAAAGAAATGTCCTTCATTTCAGCAACAACTTCGAAATATATATTTCAGTTTTTAACTTTATTTATCATTTGCTAATAGCAAGTGATGATTTTCTACGAGGATGATTCTCTTTGTGCTTGTCTACACGGAGAATTTACCTCTCTTATTGTTTTGCTTAACTCCATAATCTTGATATTTGAACCAGCTTAAAAAAATTAAACTTGTAAATCAGACATCAGGGTAAAGATGTTTCCCAGAAGAATATAAGTCGAACTTATCCACACTGAATATGAACCTTAAGCTCGTTATCCAGCCAGGTCTTTTTGTCTTCAGTTACTGAACTGACTTTTATACGTAGCAGAGGTAACAGACAGTTTTCCTCTCATAAACGTTTAATTATCATTTTAGTAAGCGCATCTGTGTCCAAGGAATAAAAACAATAACACGATTAAAATTAACCCTGAGTAACTCCGTTTCTCCTCCTATCCTAGTCCGCCATCTTTTCATGTTCGCCAATTTTGAACTTAAATCAAAAAACAAAAGGAGCCATTTATCAAGACACTTTGGCTTAGTGGGAGAAGCAAACCTGGATGTATACCACGTATCGAAGGAATCCTCCCACTGTTAGCCCGACAGCAACGAAACATCTACCGCTACGGATATTTTACAGGTATATTAGCACTGATATCAGTGCAAACTAAACCAACAAAATCTTTGGTCCCATCCCATGATTTACCTAACATTAAAAATAATATAAACCACAAAGTGTACATGAAGTTGGTTACATTTATCACGGGCGTTATTTTAAAAAAAATACTATGAAAGCTATCTTATAACCATTTAACGCAGAACTTCGAATAAACATATTTTTCATTTTTTTTTTGTATTAGTTTATGTCAATCGAAGTAAAAAATATTATATTTAGCATCTTAAAAATTTACGGTTAGGAAATAGAGCATGAAACACTGTTTTTTTTCTTTTTTGCATAAGACATAATCTTCCAAACGGTTCACTTCCAAACAATAATTTTTCAAATTTGCACTTACTTTCAGTTATTTAGATCTAAGAGAAACAGTTATTTATCATTGAAATTTCTTTCATTTATTAAATCAGTTATTAATAAATTTTTGAATATGAATAAAAATAAATTCAAATTATTTTTTTTATTTTATATTTTAGTACAAATATAATTTCGATTATCTAAGAGTTTTTTTAGGAACTGTTAGACTGTTTTTAATAATAAAACAATATCAAAACATTTTTTTGCTTGTAATTGGAGCTCAAGAAAAAAAAACAATATAAAACGGACACCGGTGTCCCATCTGCATCAAAGGGTTAAATACAATCATAAATTGTTTTAGAGTAATGTGATTAAATAAGCTAAAAGCTAGACTGCTAATAACTAGAATATTTCCTATTGAAAGACAGAAGGATAATTTTAAAATATGTCAGAAATTTTTGTATTTATTCGACATGAAAATGAAATAAGAAATTTTAAAGGGATTGAAAATAAGTAAATTATTTTATTTGTTTCAGAGTCTTCCTAGAAATGTTGTATGGTTTCACTACCGGCTATGGGCCTTGCATAATTGCCCAAGGTGATGCGCAATTAAAAGACAATTTAGCAGGCAATGTCAAATCTAGCAATTTTTTACAGGTAGCAATTTATTCCTTTGACATATTCCATATCTTAAAAAGCTTTTAAAACCATTTTTCCTTTATCCACATATTAATTAACTCTTTAAGTATTTGTGAGTGTTTATTTCTAATCTATGAATAAAATTAATGTTCTTACTATATTTATAATTAACGTATACAGCGTATGAAAATGCAAATATTTCATTTTCAATTTCTAAAGAAATGTAAAATCTACATTTTCAAATACGTGGTGCATATTATTTCACGTTTTAAAAACCTTATCACTGGGAAAAAGTTAACTATTAAATTGTAATTTGAGCTAAAAAGGAGAAAAATAATTATTTACCATATTTAAACTGTACTTAATAAGATTCGAAAAGTAAATATGTAATATTACAATAAATGTTATTGAAAACAAATTTCGATGCTATTTTCAAAATCATGAAAAATGTAATAAAATTCAATTACTTACTCAAATGATATTTCTAAAGAAAGGTTATTTTTTATTTACTGTCCCTCGCGAGAATATTTTTTCTTATGCTTTTTTTTTAATTGGATATATTGTTGAGTGTAACATTTTATAAAAATCTAAACTTTTTTTTTGTTATCAATCACTGTTACCTAACTGCTTAATCTGGGACAAAATAAAATACTTGTTTTCTCTTTAAAAATATTATAAATTATATAATACATTACAAAATATTTTTTTAATACTTTAATAAAAATGCGAAAAACTTTTTCTATCTGTCGTATAAAAATATTGCACTTTTTTATAATTGAAAAAGATATAATAGTATTAAACGCTTGTTTTACACCATACACTATTCCAAAATAGTACCTTATAATAGCTATCAATTAAAGCTCCGTTAAATTTATTTATAAGTGTAGTAACTTAAAATATTCATTACTGCTTAATAAATAAACCCCTATCATCGCCAGCTACATGTTTAACGATTGCATGTTATATCAAGTTCCGTCCATTCATCATTTTAAGGTAGAGTGACAAAAATTTTGAAGTTTAATTAAAAATGTTATTGATGCAAAGAAATAAGATGAATCATCAATTGTTTCAGTAATAGGAGTTCGATCCCAGCCGGCCGAAAACTCCCCGTGTAGTAAACGGTGACTGGTGCACGTTAAATCTGTCCAGTCACTAAGTCCTCCATGTTCCCAAAACAAATCATGCTTTTGGGGGAACTGAATTGGAGATTGATCGTTCTCTGGTTCAGGTCAAAATTACGATCTGTGGATGAATGAATGGATGTACCAATATGTCCACCCTATAAGGGCTGTGACGTGTGTGTGGCTGAAGTCGTATTCTTGGTCATAGATGGCGCCACTGAAAAACAAGAAGCGCACCCTTTGCCTTAAATTACCTTGATTTCACCAAGCAGTCTTGCTGGTTTTTCAAGTCGTGTTAGAAACAACAACAACCATAATATCGTTCATATCTACTGCAGCTTAACATGGAGAAAAGTTGAATCCTATTATCGTGCAAATTAAACTTTGTTGAACTTGATATACCAGATAATATGAAAAATAAAACGGAAGCTGACATGAAACGGAAACAGTTCGATTTAACACATTATTATCGTTACAGCAAATTTGCCAATGATATCATGGTTCAAAGAACCGATATTCTGGTTTAACATTGCACATTTTTTTAAAATGTAACTCCTTTTGATCCTACCTAAAATGAAGTCTTTGAAAAATACAATGTGTCAATAAATTAAAACATATTATTTCTTTTAAACAGGTACCCGATCCGCATGACTCAGTGAGATCCAAAACTCCTACAGCTAGTCCTACTGTCTTCCGTTATTTTTCTCGTCTTGGTAATTGGGCAGGATGGGGTATGGGAAGTCGATCCAAGACACCATTGGGTGTTGAAGCTGGCCTTAAACGTTGGCAGAGTGAGTTTGATTGTAAGTGTTTGGTGTAGTCTGGTCTATAGTCTTTTTTCATGCTCTCACATTTATTTTGAGTTCTTTTTACTTTCAAGATTTTGCTAGATGCTTCTGGGCATTTTTACATGAATGTTGTATGTCTAACTTGTTCACCGTTTGCATGAATAAACAATGTCAATTAAAAACAACAATATGTTGGAAAACGAAGTATTCCACTCTGAAATCTATTGTAATAAATAAATGTATGTAAAATAATTGATGTGAAACATAGAAGCGATCTTGTAATGATGAATCCAAACATTAAAAATATTTAAAAGAGAGTTTTTTTTTCTCTGAGCAATTTCATTACAAAAATAATTCAAGTGTTTTCTACGAATAATGATTTAATTATTAGTGTAGCGGGTATTTAAATACTTTTAAGATAATAAATATTTATTTAATGTAAATACCAAAGTTATTCAAATTGATGTATACATTATTTGTAAATGGAAATTTTACATAAAATTTTTTGTCAGACTTCAATCAATGTCTGCACAGTAAAAAAATCCCAAAACGTTTCTGAATATATGCGGCAACAACGGTGCATGTCATTTTTAAATACGTTTCTGAATATTTTGGAAACCTCTTTCTGTAATATTCAGAAACATTCCGTGGTACTTGAGAAATATTTTGAATCATTTCTTGCAGTTTTCGATTTTTTTAAATATTTAAAGCGTTTCCTATATGCGTTTCTTAATATTTCGGAAACCTCTTGTGGAGCTGGACTACAGACAATGTCTACAGTCATCTATCAAAAGATACCTCAAGATAGAACAGAGTCAACATGTCTAATATACTAGTGAAGTGGAATTTAATAGTTGCAGTGGTAGCTGCTACACTTTGAAACTGAATCAGCGATTCAGTTTCCTACTTTTGAAAACAAAAGAAATGTTTCTCAATTGATCGGAAACATAATAATAAATGAAGTTCTCTGAGATTTTCGAAAACATTTTTGCCGAGTCAAAATTCTGAAATTTTTTACAATGTACTCATATGTTAAGTATATGCCTTTGTAAATTATTTTGAACCAAGAGCCAGGAAAAATACTGAAATACAACACACAAATAAATATAGATATTAATTTTATTAGCTTTTTGAGATTTTGAAAATATAATTTCTTTACGTCTTATAGTGGCATATCACTTATCGATTTTTTTGGCTTATTACTATTCCACACTAAGTCTTTCAGCTTAACTAGAAGAATTTTTAAAAGCATTCTAACATTCCTAGTTGTATATTTTCAATTATTAAAAAGGTATGTCATTATAAAATCTATCTAGTTTTAAAGTAATAATAATATGCTTCATAAACAAAACAAACAGTTATTAAAAATTCAGCATAATTATATACTGTATTTTTCTTTAAATCTAAAAGTTATGCATTAGTAATATGACTTTATTTTTTATTTTTTTTATTTAAGGGGACCAATCAGGGAATGAAAAATTCTAGCATAATTTTCTCAGAAAGTTGGAACTAAATTTTATTGTGATCTTTTATCTTCGGAGATGAATAATCAAAATTTGTAAACTGTTTAGAACTGAAACTAAATACCTTCACTGAAAAATCAACTAAGCAATGGTTGAAATTCAAAATTAAATTGTATTTTGCGCAATTTTTGTAACCAAAATTCTACCTATAACTGTTATTTTTATTTAGAAATAAAAATTTATTTTTCCCATGTTATGAGTATTTAAAATTAAAAGTTCAGATTGAAGTTACAAGCAATTGTTAACAAGCCTTGTCAATTTTTATTAACCATGTCATTTTTCAAGAGCTCTTTCTTCCTTAATAAATGTTTAATTCCTGATAAATTTAGAAATAGTGCGTTTTAGCAATACTTTTTATTTCATCGAAGTTATTTATATTGCTACGAAAACTTCATTTTATGATGAAAGCACCAGTCTAGACAACGAATATCATAATTATTCCAAATGTATCGTATATGTATTTTCATGTGATGAAGCATCGTTTCTTTCAGCTGCATCAAATGTTTAATTTTGGTATTCATTTTTTATAGCACGATGCCATGTTTGTTATGTAAAGATATGCAATACGTACTGACTGCATAATAATGTGAATGTTCTAGTGTTTGCATCATTTTGATGTACTTTGTTTGAATGTTACTATAAGACTTGATGTTTAAATATTTGTCAGTGTTAAATGGAATTAGTGTTTACTTATGTTTTTGATGTCAAACATTGTGTTTCTCTGGAGTGATTTTCTAAAAGTTGAAACTTGGGTTTTTCATGAAAGGTTTACAACCATGTCACAAAAATGTTCTCTAAAAATATAACCTGTACATATTTTTGCATTTTCTTAATTGCCTACTTTTATTTAAATTTCAGATTATCTAGTATCGCGGTACTTTACTGTCATTATTTCCTTTATGAAGAATCGAATTCGAAAATCATATTATATATAAAAAATTAAATTAAAAAAAAATAGAAAAAAATTACCTTTCGCGCATCACTTTAAAAATTTAGTATATTTTGATTTCAACCCCCCCCCCCTTAGTACAAATGCTAAACCAAAAAAATAAACTTCGACTTTTCTTTCTAAATTTTAAATTATATTTTAAGCATAAATAATTATGATTAAACGTATAATTACTGAAACGCGTCGCGTCACAAAGCCTTTATTTAACGACTGCCAAATTAAACATGACATCACTACCTTGCTTATAACTTTTGGAATAATGAACAACTAGTCATCTTTTTATTTCGTGACGTAGTGAAGTCAACTGTTAGCCAAGCATATAACCAAATCGTAAATTTTTCCACGACTTAGTTCCAAATTTAAACAAATGCCTGTTTTGAAGTGTGTTTGTCTCTCTCACACAAAAAAGTGAATAAAAGGAAAATAATAAATAAAAAAAGTATACCTTGTTGTGTAACAGTACCAGTTGAACTCCTTTCCTGGCCTTGAATGGCAACAAAAGATGAGGCAAGTGTTTACAGAGAAAGCGAAGCAGTTTAGAGGCTTTACCAATCATCCATTGCTCACCAATTACAAAAATTCAATTCTAATTTCTAACATGTTTTGAAAAGTTCAGAAAAAGTCAAAGCTTAGAAAATAATTATCTGAAGTAAAAAATTAAAAAGTTTTAACAATATTCTGTAAGAAGAAAAAAACTCAAGAGATGGAGTGTTAAAATAGTCTTGCAAAATAAAATGTGGTAAGAATAGAGACATATATTAAGAAAAAACATATTATTTTTAGAGCATATTATCGTCAAAAAAAAAGAATCGTTAAAAGCATATTATCGTCAATTAAATATGAATTGTATTTGAATCTTACCACATTTAAGCTGCTTTTATGTAAAATAGATAACATAATTAATGTTAGATGAAAAACTTAATTCTCCATACCAACTTCAATCAACATGCAAACACAATTGATAGATAAATCGAAGAATGAACAGAAAGTTCGAATTCCCTCCAAAAAAAAAACCTTACAGCTTATTTTATTACAGGGCTGTCAAATCTTTTTCTTTTCTGTAATAGGTAAAGAAAAAGAAAAAGAACGCAGGCAATCAAATGCAACAGCTGAGGTAACTTTAAGTATGTGTGCTGATGCTGGAAAAGTTGACAGAACCAAGCTAAGTCAAACTGAGGTTTGTCATCTCTTAAATTTTAAAAGTTTCTTGCTAAACATTTAAAATATACCTGTTGATACTCTTAACAAATTCAATTTAAAACTTTAATTCAATTGCTTAACGTAAATCTAATTAGAAACTTTACCGAGCTGAACTGAATCATCTTTTGCATTAATTACAGAAAATGTAATGCACCCATCGAAAAGTGTTTTTTCTTATTGTTTTTTTTTTATTATTATTATTATTTTTACTTAATTTGACATTATGCACATTTGAAAACATTTTCCTGAAAATAAATTTGAAAATAATAGAAATCATAATACGTTTTATATTGAGATTTATCTAGATGGAATCACAGACTTTGAATTATTGTCTTCTCAAACCAGCATTTTTATATTCGCGAACTCAATAACTCATGCAATTTCATTTAGTTTATTAAAGTATTTATTTATATAATATTGTTGATAGTAAGGTTTTAAAAAGATAACTCTTAAGAGCGAAGAAAACTATTAAATTACATTAATGATTAAAACCGTCAATGACAGAAGCCATCAATGATGATAAGCCGTTAATTTTTTAGTTAAATCAGATAAAAATTGAAAAATCGCGAGACTGACGTTTTCCAATGTCTTTTTATTTATTATTTATTAAACAACCAGAATGTCATCCTCTCTTAAACATCATAAATATGTAAAAGATTGATAGATCAACGAGTTACTTAAATTTAATATACGAAGGTATAACAGACAACTCTAAAAAAACCAATCGGATGGTTTTCAAATAAATAAGACAAAATATTCGGTAAAATAAAACCTAAAGGTGCTCCTAAAAAACACTAAGTTTTTATAGCCCTATAATAAATGATATATAAAGTGGAATTTAAAATTAATAATAAAAAAAATTAGCATACATGCTCAGCACAGTATGCGGTTTTAGTTTCTAAGACACATAATTTAGTATCAAATGTCACCTATAGGAGAAAATTTTACATTTTAAGCCTAAAGTGTGTGATAAATATACATATTAGTGAGCTGTAACAATAAACAAACTAAAGGCAAACAACGTTAAAGAGCACAAATTTTTTTTTAAAATACATTGTATTTTATAAATAATTTTGTGCTCTTTAACGTTGTTTGCCTTTAGTTTGTATTTTAGCACAAAGGTCGCCCACTTGTGTATTTATTTTGTAACAATAAACGTTTCTCCGTTTTATTTATCGCCATTGTGATGATTTAGTAAATCTATATTGTGCTTGAAGTAGCCAAGTTTTCCCTTCTTGGTGACTTTTAATACAAGTTTTTTTACGTTTTCTTTTTCAGGTTTATTTATTTCTTTATTAATTAATGTTTATAAATAGTGGCTTAAGGGATAGAGCGTTCGCCCTCCAATGAGGTGAACCGGGTTCGAATCCCAGTGATGGCTGGTTGATACGAATTCCGCACACGGCTCGCACCGGCCACAGTGCTGACGAAAAATATCATCAGTGGTAGACGGATCATGGATTAGAGTCCCATTGCCGTCAGGCTAACCATAGGTGGTTTTCGTGGTGGCAATGTGGATTAGTTCCATCAAAAAGTCCTCCACGAAGGCAAAATTTCTCCCTTTACTTGATCCAGGAGTTCACTTGTCTTCTGGATTGGAATCAAAATTACAAGGCTATGGAATTGAACATTAGTAGTCGTAAACCCTAAAATGGGTCGGCTGTTCAACGACGGTTATAAAATAAAATAAAATGTTTATAAATGCAAAACTGGGCTACGACATAACGTCTGAAGTGCTTCGTTTTCAATGTGAACATTTGCCTCATATCGAGGAGCCAGGAAATGCGCTCAACTGGTTCTATTTATCCTATAACGAGCTCCGCTTTTTATTTGTTTGAAGACGGTAGAAATCTCTTCTCATGCTCCAGAACCGGTTTGTGTTCATGTTCAGAGCAAATATGAGGAATTATTTACATTTGGCTTCAATGCTTAACATGCACGCTATATTATTTTACTTTTCGCTCAGTACATCACATATTATGTGGAACGAAACACTTCACGTTATTTTATGTTCATCCTGTATTTGCATTAAAACATGAGTAAAACTTTTTTACACTCTTTTTATCTATTTTCAGTTCAATATCATAGAATTCGATAGTGAAACGTTCATGATACTAATGGAATACATTCAGAGTGGCTCTTGTCCGTTAACTTGTGAAACAATTCCAGGGCTTATCTGTGCCGCGGAGCACTACGATCTTCCAGAACTTCTTCAAGCTTGCTTCCATCACGCAAAACAACACTTCCGTCTTTCTGTGGTATGAACTATTAAAATCATGAAAACTATCATATTTCTAATTTTCTACATTTCTTAAAAAAAAATAATAATAACAATAGCTTCTACAGTAAATTTATTAGATATACAAGATGTACATCTTGCTACTCTAATAAGTTAGCAAGAAATAAGTATCTCATTTCAGATTGCGCTAGGATGCATTATATTGATCCGAATAAGATGATATTCGATCGACAAATAATCCAAAGGAAACGTTTGAAATTTATTTTAAAAAAATAGTTCAACAGTTCACCAGTAGGTGGCTCTTTAATAGAAATAAACGCATTTAATAACGTATTAAAACTGCTCACTGCTTCGCTTTTTATTTTCAACAATGTCGTGCTCTGATCATAAAATGATTATACATCGAAATTTTGTTGGTTTTGATTGAACAATTTTTCCAATAGCGTTTTTTCTTCCCAAACAGAGGTCAGAACAAGGGAAAAGCTAGCCAGAACTGATACTTCAATTATATATTATAAACATTATCAATAATTTGGTTTTCTAAGTTAGTGATTGAGAATCAAAGTTTAGAATTTTAGTATTCAAAATGGCGGATCCACAAAATGGTAATGATAAAGGGCCGAAAATTTAATATGTCTAATTAATCATATATATTTCTTCAAAACAGTTATACTTCTTTGTTATTAGTACATTTAAGGTTGATATGTAACTAGTATACGTAGATTATCCGAAACTTGTTATGATATTAGGGCGAGTAACAATAAATAAATAAAATCTGCACTCTTAAGGGCTTCTTTTAAAGAAAATTATAATTTTTTTTAATTATAATATTTATTGGAACATTTTATATGATTATTAGATTCTTTTATACGAAATATATACAATATCATATATTCCAATGCTTTTACTTATTTTCTATAGCTAAGATATCTTTTACTATAGAATCGAGTTCTTTAAATATTTTTTATAAGTATTAATTACCCTGTTGAGAAATGAACGGATCAACACTAAGTTGCAATCGCTTGAACAAACCTTCAATGTTGTGTAATCTAAAATCCTTCCTTGATCGATTTATTTGCCAATACCAAAATATTAAACAAGACTTACATTGCTTTCAGAAAATTTTTCAAATAATAACTTAATACATTTTATAATTGTATAAAACTGCTCACATTACACTTGTAATTGTTTCCACTGACAGACAATGAACTGATATCTTTAATTCAAACAATTATTATTTTTGAAAATGTTTCTTAAGCACTGTTTTATGAGTATTAAAATTCAGAAATTCTAATAAAAAGTAAAAATCGATTATGTTTACTTAATGTTAATTTAAATAAATTAACATTAAGTAAACATAATCGATAAGTATGTTTATTTAATGTTAATCGATTAGGTACACATCATCTTTTATTAATGAAAATAATAAAAGATGATGTCTAAATTTCTTAATAATTATGACATTGAAAATTAGAAAAAGTTACTGAACCCCTTCTCTTTGCATTTTTATCAATAAAATCAATAGAGGCAATTTTGGACGCTTTTTTTATCCCCTGATTCTGCGAGAATTATTCTATAGTTACCTTATAATAAACAAGGGAACGAAGGAGAATTTCTTTTCATGAATCACAATGAAGTTGTAAAATTATATAAAATGTTCAATTTTGCCTAAAGGATTTTAACTACTGCAATATAAATTATTAACAAGGCCAACGTTAAAAAAATGATTTTCAAGCTTATAAAAACATTAAGAATCGAAAACAATGATGGATGTACAATTGTTTCAGAAGTAACAGCTGCTAGATGTGAATAACAAGAATGCATTCTGCCGCCCTCCGAATTGGAGAACTTATTTCTTGCTAAAACTGTTACATAGGGTAACAAATTGTCATTTAAGTGTGACAAAAGACGAAAACTTTATCAAAATTACCATGAACCGGGGCGAGTCTACCCATTTTTTCAGTTTGTCAACTTTCAAGTGGTCAAACTTTTGTAAATATTAAAGAAAAAAGGCTTTTAAGAGGTGTTTCGGAATCGCTTTTAATTCCTCTTTAAAGCTGTGAAATAGATTTTAGAAAATATTAACAGTTACGCTGTTACTGTATATTTTTATAGAACTGCTGACAAATCTCTCGTATGGGGCGAGTCTACCCATTCTACTAAAATGAATGTTAACATTGTAAATAATCAAATTTTACTATTAAATTGTTATTTTAGTTACTATATAGGATATTTATGAAGTAAAATTCATAACTTTATTATATATTCCATTTTTTTATTCATAAAATAACACAAATTGAGTATTTGATCGATTATCACATTTTGATCACAGTTTTGTTTTTATAATCATTAACATTATAAAATAACATTTTTTTCTGATTATTGTTGATAAAAATAAATTAAAATTAATATAAATTTACAATTAAATAATTAATAAATAATAATAATTAAAGATTATTAACAAAATCGAAATTCAAACATTGGGAATCATGAAAAATCCTTTTCCCATTCTTTTGGGAGGTAATAATAATTTATAAATAATAATTTATTTAACTTGCATTAAATAAAAAAAGTTAATTTTGTAATATAAAAATTGAAAAAATAGGTAAAATAAACATATTTTATATTTACATTTATATTTAACCTATAAATTTTCTTATTAATGATAAATTTATCAATGCAGAATTAAAATAATATACTCAAATTCATTTAAAATGACTTAATTTTAATATAAACAAAGTTCTAAATTATATTATTATGCTTTATTAAAACTAAATACGAATGGGTAGACTCGCCCCGCGAATTCTGGCTTTTTGTTTACAACAGCAAAACTTACATTCTTTTTGTTTTTTTTTATATAAAATTAATGTAATCTTAGTCTTAGATAAGTTTATCACTTAACCAAAGTGAAAATAGTAATAATAATAATATACTTACGGAGCACCAACTAAAAGTTTGCTGATTTTCAATACAAATCTCTCAAAAGACGTTTGAACAGGTCGGTTAAAAAGACACCAAATAAATAAAAACGGATCAAACTACAACAGCGCTATCTTCCTTAGAGTCTGAACTAAGTCCTCCGTCGGTAAAAATTTTTTTATTTGCAATTTAAAAGAGTGAAAATTAAATAAAACTAAAATGGGTAGACTCGCCCCTGGATGGGTTGACTCGCCCCGGTTTTCCGTACTGAAATGAATCACAACGAAGGTGGGAGCAAAACCCTCAAAGCGGTGTGCTTACGACCTTTTAATATAGAGAAACAAATATTTAATTAGATTGTGATTTTTATTTATGTTTAACTACTGAATGAAAATGGAAGAAAAAAATTTAAATTAAGATTGCTTCGAAAAAATAAACAATTTTGCATATTTCAATTTTTAGGATAATAATACTCTTGTTAAGAAATTATACTGACTAAAGCATAAATAAGAATCCTGATTACAAACCAAAGCTTAGAAATATCTGTTCTCTGTCTGAGCTTGGTTTTTCAAATTACATCAAAATTTATAAAATCATTAAGTAATATTTTTTTAAAAATATATTAGCATAATATTTGGAAACTTATGCTTAAAATTTCACACATAAAGCAAAATAAAAAACAGTGTTTGATTTTTTTAAAAGTTTAAATAAATGTAATCTCTTTTTCGTTTTAGTAATTACTACAGCCAATAAAGACGATGTCTAAATGTCCCTTGATTCAAAAGTAATCTACAAGAACAAAGCAGTCATTATCTTGTTGAAGGGTCATTGTAAAATAAAAAATAAATCTATATATTTCTAAAAAGTACCTTAAACACAACAATGTGTCGATAAAAGTATGGATATGTTCGTTTTATATTTTAAACTTTTTGCAAGCATCTGATGTCCATAATAGAATAAAATAAAATTAAAATCTCGAATAATCAATGTCAGTCGCATTGCGCGAAAGATAGGTAACCAAAGGAAGAGTGAGAGCTCGGTTCTACTTCGAATTGGTGACAGGTGATCGCGTTAAGTAGCATAATGATGTCTGTTTTAGAAAGACTCTTCCGGGTTTCAGAAGGATACACAAGCGAGAAAAAAAATCTTTGGCCATCATTTACGGAAGCCTTGGTTTTGGTCTAATAACGCATAATAACATACAATTTATATAATATTTTATTCTAATCAATTGATTAACGCCTTGCGATAATATATATGTGTACTATATATATAGATATATTTACAAATAATTATAAAAACTTTAGTGCTTTAACAGACGTAAAACTCATTCTTATTTACTTCTCAGATCTCATCTTTCATTTGTCATAAAATATAATGAATATTTTACAGGTGTGCTCAATGTTGAATACATTAGAAAATTATTATTGGAGATATAATTCTGCTATTGAGTTAGTGAATGCCATTCTTCAATACATAGACAGCCGAGCAGCTCAACTTTTTAGAAGAAAGGAATTTTTAGACTTGTCAGAGTCCATGTTCCAAATGATTTTAGGCAGAGATTTAAATGTAGCAGAAGTAGTAAAATTTCAAGTAATGCTAGAATGGACTAAATACAAGATAGAAATGTCTACTAAAGTAGGTAATAATAATTTTATTAAGTAGATTTGGAAGTGCAGAAACATTTACGTTAGTAGTGGTATGGTATACAAATGAAACGCTGCATGCTGTGAATTATTTATTTATGTTTAAAAATTAAGTTAAATAGTTCTCCTCCATTTAAAGAAGTTCAATGTATCCCTACTCTTATACATTAAACTGAAATTACAACAACTCAAAAGGTGGAAAAAGGAAATTAAATTAACTTTTTCTAGCAGGCGCGTCCTTCATACCAACTAGCAGGTGTTGAAAAAATAACAGAAAATTAATTAAAAGAAAAAGGGAAAATATAAAAATTAACACTGTGTTGCGTTCTGCTTTGGAAAGGTATTTTAAAATTAATAGGTCAATAGATGTCTTTGTCAATAGAAAGCTTTGTCAATTGATGACATAATTGATAAAATATATATGCAACCGTGAAAGAACCGAAATCTACTGACTTTCACCAGTGAATGTCAAAAATAAGATAGTCGCTTTGGTTAATGCTAGAAATATTATGTCAGATTTGATATTATAGTATTTATTCAATATATTAATATCCGATTAGGATATATTAATAAAACAGTGCAGGGAATACCAGGAAATGTAAAGTGGGCAGTGGCATTTAACCTTAAAAAATATCCGGATACCGGGCAAGTGTGTACTTAGCTTTAAAGAAAAAATACCAGTGTAGGGAATACCGGGCAAGTGTGTACTTAACTTTAAAAAACATCAGTGTTGGGAATACAGGGTAAAGAGTTTTTATCTTAAGACATGAGAGAACACTGATTAGTATCCTAAACCCCACACAAAATTACCAACATTAATGTTTTTCCTAATCTGTCCCTATCCGATATTAACCCCTTCCTTCTCGCTCCAGTGAAAATGACGGGGTGAGTTTTCGCCCGCTATTTCTCGCTCCCGTGATATTGACGGGTACAGTAATAAATTGTTCAGTAATAAAGCGCCAACAAGAATGAAACTAATTCATTTCTTTTGCCCGGAAAGCATTTTATTTCTCATTTTACACACCTGATGGCAGTACTAGGATCAAAATTAATTTTTTTCACTTATGAAAAAGTTAGCTCAAAAAAGATATCTATAAAATAAACTTTAAATAAATTGCACATTTTTTTCCTGGTAAAACTAATTTTTTTTCAAATCATATTTTCAAACTTTTTCCAGAAACACAGAAAACACAATTTAAACTATTATAATTTCAAAAATAACTAGTTAAAATTTAAATGTGCAATTTAAACATTAGGATATTCGCAGTTTCTTCAGATTATTAAAACTTTTTAAACTAAGCAATCAAAAGCTTTGTAAAGTATGTACTTAAAAAAAAATCCTAGGGTAAAGGCAGTAACTTGAAAACACTCATTGTATTTTTGCGTGTCCTTTTAAATCCATACATTGCATTGTACAACATGTTATATTTGTCAAGAGATTTTTCGTCAAACTGTTTAGATGTTAAATTTTTAAATTAAAAGAATGAAAAGTAACCAACCAAAAGCATATGTTAAATCATACTTCAGCAGATATCCTCATATATAGCTATGATATAAAATTAAACGAAATTTATTTTTACTATACGCAAGGTAAAAAACGGAACATCTAAAAACTTTTAATCCAGTGATCAGATTTTCTCCATTGACTATTATGATTCGAAGGTCTAACGTTAAATACGATAATTGATTTGTGCAGACGATATTTGAAGTTACGAAAATAGATACAAAAACGTTCTTTCTCGAAATAAACATGCCATATTTCAGATGGGTTTAGGTTTTTTGACCCTAAAATATGAGAAGAAGGGAGTTGTAATCTGAGAAATAAGGTCCCATTAGTTTAGTCAGGTTCAAAAACCTTTCAAATCGAATTAAAAAAAACTTTTTGCATTCGCTCTGTTACTACTAATCTATGACTAGAAACAGTCGAACAGTTCTTAAGAAATGAAAATATAAAAACCCAACTTTCTTAATTATCTCTAATGGGTCATTCTCACTGAAAAGGTATAAATAGACTAAAAAAGTTTCTTAAATTAAAGTAATTAAAAAAAGTGATAAAAATTACATAAATGCCTTTATTTATTTTTGTTATATGTCCTTATAATAATGGTCAAGTTTTCTATTTTATTTTTTACAAGATTTAAAATATTTTAAATTCTGCCTTGTCCACGGAGGAGATGTAATAGTCAACGGAGGAGACATTTTATGTTATAAAATATAAAATGTCAATGAAGACTAATTCATTAATTATTGGGCACAACTGATATGAGTTTAACATTAATAAGTAAATAATAAAATATTTCATTATTAGAGATAGAGCTACTTCCGATTAATCATGCTGCTATGAAAGGAAACATCCATTTTTAACCTAGGTGTACAATTTCTTAAGTAACTCTTACTGAATATTAATAAATTAAAATGTAAAGACTATTGAAATAAAAATTCAGACTCCACATGAAAGTTGAGTGTTGAGGGTACTCTTTTGTGACCATTTTATGCAAGTTAAACATACTGTCATCCAAATAACGTTTTTGTTTTTTCTCTTTTCTTCTTGTTATTGTTTCTTTTTTCCCTGGGCACAAACGCACAAACGGCTTGCTCTATCAATTTCTAGAAATTTAAGTACATTTAATCACGATTTTTCTGTTAAATGTTTTTCTGATACAGATTTTAAAGTTTCTTACTCTTTTTTTTATTTTTACTTTCTTCAAACAATATAGGGTTTTCTTTTAATTTCTGTCTAGCTTGTCTCATACTAAGTTTTTTCTGTTCCCTTCTCTTTTGCATTTGAACATTTGATTGCTTTCTTTTTTTACATTTTGGTTTTGCCATTTTTTTCCTAAAATTTGAAGAGAAAAAAAATTTTAAGCATCACAGAAATCATTTAGAAAAATTGCTAATATTTTCTTCTCCGATAAGAAAAAGTTAAACTTAATTGATTTTCTTTAAAAATACAAACAAATTAATACATTTGTTCCATTTTAAAAAATATCAATTAAAAGAAAATAGTTTTTTAATAATTAAAATTGTATTATGGTATCTAACACATTATCTCTTCCACTGACTGCGTCTTCTCCTACGTGGACTTGTTATGTCCACGGAGGAGACAAAAATTAGTTCTTTTTATTAAATATACTATTTCTGCAATCTAAAATTCATCTATCAAAAATAAAATAATTTTCTCTTACCTTCTTTATGATGTCCACGGAGTATACGGTGAGAACTTTGCCAAACCCCAGTTGAACACAACAATCCAAAACTGACACCAAAGAGAACAAAAACAACTGATATTTAACATTAGAAAATGGAATGGTTACCCCTCCCAGCAGCTGTCTTATAGGGATTTCGCATATGCTGCCCTTTATTGCATATTTACCGAACTATATTAATTGTCCATGGAGGGAGATTTCATTTTTGATGGACAAAGTTTACTAGTCATTTATTTTATAAAAATAAACTTTTTTTTAAAAAAAATATTAAATCAAAAGTTACTATAAACATTTAACTAGTTAAAACTACAAAAATCATTAAAATAACATTTAAATTGCTTCACAGCCATTAAAAACTATTTTGTGTCACAGACGTAGGGACGTCCACGGAGGGGATTTTGAAGTTATGTTTATTAAAAAATAAGAATGAAATATTAAATACATTTAGCAGAAATGCATATGATTTGTTAGTGAGAACTTTACGAAAAATGATGAAGAAAAATATTAAGAAATCTGCTGTATTTCCTAATATTTATTACTAAGGGACTTAAAAAAATCACCTTTTTGTGAGAATGACCCTAATAGTTCCGGACAAGACGAAACACGCTGAGTTCATATTTTTCAGATTGCAGCTGGCCCTTCTCCTCCATTTTGAGGGTCAAGAATCTGAATGCGTCAAAAATGAAGTATATTTATTCAAAGAAAGTACGTCCTATGTGTTTGATTTGAAACTTAAAATACCGTCCATCTGCAGAAATTAATAAGTGTAATTAAAGTTAGTAATCTTATCATTATAGTCGTAGTCGTGAAAAACCATTTATTAAACCTAAATTTATAAAGGTGTTCTGTTTTATTTATTTATTTTCTTTATTTTTTTTTAAATTTCGAAATAAGCATTTTAAGATGTTACAGCTAGTTTGAAAATAAATAGAGAAAGCCTAAAAAAGTTGTGATAGAAAAAATGGTTCGGTAAATTTCATATTTATTCTTTAAATCCTGTAAGTTTCCAATCACTAATCTGCTCATAGTACAAACAAAAAATTTATAAATAACTGTTTTAATTTCTCTATTATAGATCCAAGAGAATTGAATTGTACTATGAATAGATTAACAAGAGATTTAAAACTATACAAAATCCCTCCACAAGAATTAATCAAGGTGAGTACATTTATTTTATTTCTGTTGTTTCAAATTATGATGCTTAAACCAAGGATTCGATAAAATATTATTTCAACAGTAAACAGCTATTGAAGCAGATACATGCTATTCATGAAAATCGATTACAATTGAAAGAAAACTGTAAAATTAGTTTTTTATAGTAGATAATTACAATCCTTAAATTTTTAAATTTAGGGCACACAGAAAAAAAAATTTTTAGAAAATTATTTAACATTGGATTTAAAACTGTTTTCTAATTTTTATCTAAGATAATGGTAATGTTTTCATAGCATAATGTTTTGGATATTAACAACCTATGACGGATTTAAGTGACTGATGACTGATTTAGAAATCCAAGGGGTTGCAAGCACAATACTGTTTTGAGACACACTGCATGTAATCTAAAGCCTAATATACTTGTAATTTGTATACAAAAGGCTTTTGAGTGATTTGTTACATAACAGAATTATACTTTAAGAGAACTTAAGCTCATATTTATTCCACTCAAAATTCTCCAATAGACAATTCTTAAAGGAGAAAACACACGATTTCTAAAAATTTCAGGGTCCTATGCCTTGACCACTCAGGCTTTATGATAAACCAGGTACAACAAACGGTCCGACAGAGTCTTTACTCAAATAATAAGAATTTCACATGTACTGCCATAACATCAGCCATAATTCTAGGATTTGGGTTTATCCCACTCAAAAGTAAGGGGTTGACACAATTTGGAAAATGTGATGCCAAAATTATAGTCATATAAAGTTTGATGATATAAAGTGCAAGAATACTTTTTTAAAGTGTTATGTTGATAAATAGTATATTAGTTTTAAGGGGTTTTAAAAGTTTACTCTTTATAAATAAAAGTGCTTCAATTTATTTATTTTTTCTTATAAGTAATGAGGTATACATTCTATATGTTAGTCTGTGTAACTTTTTATAATCAGCCAAAAACTCTAAAGATATAGGTTGAAATTCAGTGGGGAAAAAAAAAGTAAGAGGGATTATTTTTTTAAGAAATTGTATTTTCTTACTTATCAAAAGTAAATACTTTACATTAGGTATCACTAAATTTCAATGCTATTGATAAATAATTTTTAATGTTATACTATACTTATTATGAGGAAAACACCTATGGGACAAATGTATGAAAAAGTTACTAACAGATTTTGATTTGAAGGTTTTTTATTTTAAATAACTGATTAAAATCTTGTGATCTGTAGCTTAATTACATTTTCGAGTAAACATTATAATTGTTTTTTTTTTTTTTGCAGTTAAAATATTACAAAACGTTATTTCATTTAAAATAAAATTGTACATTCCAAGAAATTAATCATACATATAAAAGATGCCTCAAAATTGATTTACAACTTCTTGATTACATTAAGCCAGAAATTTGTATTCTTCTCATAGAATTAAAATTGTATAAAGGACTTAGATAAGCCAAATTATTTAAGTGTTCAGGAGAGCAGAAAACGCACTTTCTGTGAAGGAAATAAAATGATTTTGTGTATTTTACAGCCATCTAGTGAAAATTCTATTAACTAGTTGTACCTATCTGGAAATAATTCTAAGAAACTGTTTTCAAGTTAAAAATATCACCACTAGAAAAGTGTAGTTTGTCACTGCATAACTGTAAATCTTTGATTTGTTGATTATTCATTAGTTGTTTGTTAATTTATTTTATTTTATTTTGAATAGGTAATTTTACCGACAAAGACAATCAGCAATGAGCGCATTTTAAATACACTTTTGTATCAAGCAGATTCTGGAATGTATCGCATTCAGCAGTCATTTCTAGAAGAATGTCGGGCAAATGCAACAGATGAAACTGAAGAATATGACAGCTGGGAACTTTTAGAACACAAAATCAACACGGATTAATAAAATTTCTCAGGAAATCTGCGAAAAATTTTCTGTTTTGATAAAAAATGCAGTATTTATCATTATGCATGCATGTTTGTTCTACTGTGTATTATGAATGTTTGGTATTAATTGTAAAAAGCTCATCAATCATTTTTCATACTCAAGACACAGGTGATGATGGATAATGGTGCTCTATATAATACCTACGTCCTAAAATGAAAACAAAGCATGACTTTTTTTAGTTTTTATAGTCAACACAGACTTGTAGACATTTAGAGTTTTCATTTCACAATACTGAGTTTGAACACATTCAGAAAAAAAATATTTCAAAAAATCACTGATTGTAGTGTTTGACTATGTATTTCATTTTTATTTAACACAAAAAAATATGTTATATGTGCTTAAGGTAATATCCATGCTTGTAATTGTTTTTGACCTCATAAATGACATAAGTCAAATGTTTTTTCCAGAATATTACAATGTGAAGCAATTGTTAAAATAACATTTTTTGAAAAATTAGATTTCTCAAAATTCTCAATGAGAAATAAGTCATAGTTCCCTAAATTAATTTTATTTTGGAGTTTTATTTATAATTAAAATTTAAAATAAATTGTATTGAATGACACGCATAATTAGCTATTTTTCGCATTTATATATCTGGAAAAAAATTAAAAAGTTGGAGGATGATCATATTTATCATCAAATCACTGTATGTAAATTTGTTTAAATACTTTGTTATCACAAGGGTCAGCCAAAAACTACTCCATGCATAAATAACTTTCTGTGTTGCGTGCAGGCTCAATCGCATGTGAAAAAATATTACCAAATTATACTTTTTAGAAACATCTTTTTTAAACAGTAACAGTGGGAAATTTTGATCAATTGTACTGCTCAGTAGCTATCAAAAGGAAACACAATGGAAAGGTTTTTGGAATTATAAGAATTAATTTTTTAATTTAAGTTTTTAGTAGAAAAAAGTTCAAACTGCAGATTTACTATACAATTTTTAACAGATTAAAGGAATTACTTGAAATCTATCAACCAAGAATATAAGCATTATTAGAAATGCGTTCACTTTCCTCCCAGATATAGTCATATCACATCTGAAAATAATAATACCTAACTACAATTTTTGCATTAATTTTTTAAAAATAAATCTTTGAAAATACATAATTGCGAGATATTTTGATCAATTGTAATGTTTACTGGCTGTCAAAATGAAACACATTGGAAAGATTTTAGGAATTAAAAGAGCCTGTTCTTAAGTTTTAAGTAAAAAAAGGTTTAAGCTGCAGATTTATGATGTAACTTATAAGAGATTCGAGGAATTACTTAAAGTCTAAGCACATTTTTAGAAATGTGTACACTTTCTTCCCATATGCAGACATTAGGCATTTTTATAAATTTCCTTCAAAATTCATTCATAAAAATTATTTTCAATATCAAAATGTTCTCACATTTTTATTGCACATTTATAATATTAACTGCAATAAATTGTGGCAATCTGAAAAGGGAGTAGCATGATCAAGATTATGTACTCTAAAATATAGCACATCATGCATTTAGAATAGGCCACTCCTGACTTATCAAGGATTTAAAATGATAGCATTTATTTTTGAAGCTAAGTCAATATATAAGAAGAGCAACTATATGAAATGAAACTAACACAAATAAATCAAGAATTTCAAGCATTCTTATCCTCCCCCCTCCCCAAAAAAAAAAGATTGAAATTCTAGAACAAGCTTTGTATTATTTTTGAATAAAATCATAGAAGTAATTTTATTATACATAATTACTAAATCTAATGATATTTCCTAATAGATTACTTTTTAAAATGTGAAATTTTGACTAATAATTATAAAAACATATCGTTCCTGATATGTAATTCCAATTTATTTTTCTTGGTTAAACATTTCTTTTTAATTTAAACAAATATAATATTATGCAAAATTAACATAATGATTTTTGAATTCAAACTATATTATTTCAAAAGCAGTTAAATATGAAGGTTAATCAATCTAATTTAAATTTTACAATCAGTATAATCTGTACTTAAACAATCTATTATATGGAAACTATCACAAATACTGAAATACTTTGCAAACTTTATACATTTTTTAAAAACAAATCACATGTAATACAATTCATATATAGAATACAAATAAGTGTAATTAGAATTAGTGGGAGAAAATGTGATAAAATTCCCAAAATAACAGATATTTTCTCTCTAGACACATAGCAATATAAAAAAGATGATATAAATAAATAAATTTAAATGGACAAAACTAATGCTACTATTGAAACAAGATACAATCTTTATAAAACAAAATTAGATTCCTTTTGGGAAACATAGAATAATGTACTGAAATCTGAAGAAGATTAAATATAAGTCACAGACTCTTGAGATTTAAGTACTAATTGTTGCATTATTACTTAAAAAGACATCAGTTCACTGCCATCATATGTGTAATGTAAACAGTTTTATGAATATTTCATATGTATAGTCGTTTATTTACAGGAAGAATGTCATATGCTTAAATATGATGCATTTATTGACAAATTAAAGCATTTTGTAATTATTGCTTTAAAATTGATATTTTTTTATACTTCTATTTTTATCAGGTGTAGTTGCCTGCCTATAAATTTGATTGGGAAGAAAATTATTTTTAGATTGAAATGTTCATGATGATATTTTCCTCTAAATAAAATAAATCATATTGTAATAATTAGTAATCCTTTAAAATCAGGAATTTTCAATTGCCTTCAATACAAAAAGCAATACAAGTTTCTAAAAATCTTCAATACAAGTTTCTAAAAATCATCAATACAAGTTTTTAAAAATTCCCAAATGACTAAATATTTTTGTTCTATATACTCATAATAGACATCTACCTTATATTAAAAAAATTTAATTGCATGCTTTTTATTACTGGGATAATAAAAATATATGTCCTTGTATTGGGTAAGCGCACAAGCACCTTTTATAGAAACCACCATCTGTTAAACATTATTGATGTTATAAATATTATGTCCTCTAATTATTGTATTAAAAATTAATCCTCTTCAGATATAAAAAGAATTATGAAACTGTGTAAGTTGAAATTACAATGAGCCTTCATCTGTAATGTGGTTGAAAAAAAATCTGTTCTTTCCAAACATATTGTAGATTTTAACAATAAGTGTTGCCTGTCATATTTTAAATTCTGTCATAAAAATCCATATCAATGTGAAAGAAATGAAGAGTGATATAAAGCCAAATAACTAATATGTGTATTAATGTTATATAAAATTTATTTTCAGAAATAAATAATTTTGAATACTCAAAATGTAGTTCATGTTATTAAATATTATTGAAACATTTTTTCCACAATAAGGCATAACCAATATACTACATTTAAAACAAAAAATTCCCAAAGCAAAATCCATTAACATGCTACAATTTTATCATTATTTTTAAACCGTAAATATAAATATGGCAATTCATAAATGAGATAAGAAGTTATTCACTAAGAAGATAAGGAAAAATGTCAGTAAATATAAGCAATAAAAAAGGAAATCAAACCTTAGACAATTTTAACAAATACACTTTCTAGATTACATATAGCTCCCAATAAAATTCAACATTTTAATTCAATTATTTTATTTATAAGTGACAACATCATTGTTTAAAATTCAATAGACTCGAGTAATTTTTCTTACACAATTTCATTGATTTAATAATTTAAATACTATAAATAATTCGTACAAACTGAAGTAACAGCCAAATTTATTGATAAGTAATGAGAGTACAAAAATATGGATGAAAGTTGAGATTTAAGAGAGAAAAAATTAACAGAGTATAAGACTTGGTATATACAGAGATTGAGGCATTGATCTTCTTCTTAAGACCCATTTAGAATTTTTTTTTTCACGCATGCCCTGAAACAAAGCAAATAAATATTAATTGTTTTTTCAAAATAATTTAAATAAACCTTTAGAAATCCTTTTCAAAAAATTTATGCTTGCTTAAATCATATTACAACAAAGCCACCATGATAAACAAAGCTTATATTGACTTTTATTTATAACCAATAAAAAAAAAATTAACAAAATATATTTTTTTTTACTGATTCTTCAAAATAAATTTCAATTTAGTCAAAATCAAAACATGTGAAATTGTTAGGAACATTCTGACTTTCTCTTAATTATATAGAAGAGACGAGAATAAGAAAGATAATAGCTAAAACCAGTTAGCATATTAAATTCTACAATTGATTTTTCAATATTATACAAGAATTATCACATAATTTGATTGATTTTAAAGCTTTTTATTTTGAATCACGTAACTCAAATTCTCTAAAAAAATTCAGTTTTTCCTTTTTAAATATGGAACTTTTACAGTCTTTAAAATGTAAATTTGAAGAAAATATTAATGAAAATAATTAAAACTAAACAAATGAGTTCAGGTATAGTTTAAAAAAATACTATAGGTAGTAGTAATAGTTCTTTATTTGCATCACACTACAACTACACAATAGACTATAGGCAATGGGGAAAAAAACTAGAAAGAATTAATTTTTTCAAATAATTAAGAAGCAAACATTTACTTTAAGATTTTAAACAAGTTTTTAAAAATAAACACATAATATATCATGTCAAAGAGTAAAACTTATACAATACAGTGGGTAGGACTAGGATATAAATCGATGTATCGAGACATATCGATTTAATGCATATATCGGCAAGACGGTACAGCGACTTTCATTCAAGGCGATGCATCAGAAATCTGATTTAAGCCGTCGAGTAAAGAAAAAAAATACAGCGATAACAGCGCAAAAAGATACAGCGATATACACGCAAGGATATAAGATAATGATATAGCGATATAAGACTCTTCTCTTACGTTTCGATGTCGACTCGCGCTCTGGAAGACGATGTTCGTTTCGTTATGTTGAAATGGCCTTGATTGGTGAGCTGTAGAATCAGAATAAGAGTTTTGAGAACACATATTGTTATATCACATGTTCCTTTTCGCACCTCTTAGCTTTTTTTTTCTTTGTCGCGACTTTTCTTGTAGATTATTTTCTGTGGGACTAACTTCGTGATCGCCGATGTTACCTTGTTCTAAAGGCAATCTATTATTGAAAAGAATATATAAAGAAGAGATCTTCATTAATTAGATAAATTTTTTTTAAAAAAAAACTTCTTTTTATTTTTAAATGTGAAAGTTATCGGCAATCTAATTTAAGCGCCAATAAAGAATTGAATTTGTTAGGTTATTCTTTTACTTTCTTTTAATTTATTTAAAACTTTTTGGATGAAATGAGTTTTAACAAGTTTTTATTACTGATTTTAAATTTATAAATCTTGTTGTTTTTATTTTTAGAAATAAAGTTAAAACAAAATTTATTTTTGTCATTTGGATTTGGACATAAGTCAATCAACTTTATTTATACAAAACAATTTGAAAGGTTTGCGTATTTTATTCATTTTTTTAAATCATTTAGCACTTCGTTTTATTAGAGAGTATAATAATTTTTTTAAAAAATATTATTTTCATATTATTTGTTAATTAGCTAAATATATTATCGAATATCAAAATTTTTTTATTTTTAAGAAATTAAATCTTACTTTGTATTTCGTTCATTATTCGGTCATTATTTAATTTTATTTAATTATTTATCTGAAATGATAAGGTCCCGCAGTGGACTGATCGTTAAGACACGGTTCCCTGCAGATCACCGAAGTCAAGCATCACTGGCTGCGGTCAGTGTGCAGGTGAATGACCACTTGGATCAGTCTGCGTAGGGACCGAGGGTGTGAGGTATTGGTCCTTATTAAACTGTTCTACCGTAAAGTGCTAGACTTTGCGTGCAGGTCGTCGAGCTACCGAAGCGGGGGTGCCATCCCATCTGCAGACGATGAAAATTGTGATGGCATGTCTTCGGATCATCCTCAGGGATGTGGTTCACCGTTGCCAATAGCCCATTGTGCAGCTCTAGTGTGATGTAAATGAACCAATAATAGAACTATAATAACTGAAATGATAATAATAAAAAAAAATGTTTTAAAAGCGTTTTTTTTTTTTCTAAAATTTATTTAGTACTTTGTTCGTTTCATGTAGAAATTGAACATTACGATCGAACTTAATAATTATGTAATTATTTATGCATAATAGCACAAGAAAATATTAATTTGTAAAAAACGCTTTAAAAAAAGTTTTTAACACTTTTACGCGTATTATGAATTTCTAAAAAAACATTTCAATAAATATTTTAAGTAAGATTTGTACATTGTAGTCAATTTATTTAATATCTTTCTTAAGCAAAACATATATATCTTCAAATTTATAAATTGATTTAAATCAATCTGAGTATGAAGTTTTGATAGAAATCTGACTTTCTGTGCCTTACAAGTAAATGAAATTCAAAAATACCATATCGCGATACATCGCTATATCGCGATGCAAAACTGACGATGCATCACGATATATAATTTCTAATATCGCCCAGTCCTAACAGTGGGTGATCGGTTAACAAACAGATTGGTTAACGAACAAATAAAGGTTAAAGAAACGGTTAAAGAAACGCTTTCACGAAAGATTTTTGTGTTCGGATAACGAACATTTTCAAGAAAGATTTTTTGTGTTTGGACAACGAACACATATTTGGATAATGAACAAAACAAATTCTAACGAACACTTCACGGCCTGAAAAAAATTAATATTAAACATTTTGTTATCATTTCGCATACAAAATAAGATCACTGAAAGGAGAAATGTTTAAAGCATGCTCAGTATTGATAATTACTAAATGAAACTATTAATGAATTTAAAGGTCATTCAATAATTATTATTATGACTAAAATCAATAGACACTTGAATACTTCAATTTCAATATGAATATCAATATTTTCTGACAGCTGATAAATTATGGGCAAGTGGATTTGCTGACATGGTGAATAAATTAAGCGAATTCTTAATTTTTTCAAACAGTGCAGACTACAAAATATAAAGGTGCCAATGACACGCTACCGCCGTAAAAATATGTGAAATATGAGAAACGGACTAAAAATCATTTTGCATCTCTCCTGAATTATGTTGTTTACCTATTAAACTTCAAAGTTCTATTGAAAAAAAAAATTCCAATAGAATATTCATACAAATTAGACCATCAGTTTCGGTTTCGATTTCATTCAAAACAGAAAATTACTTTGTTTTGAGCTCCCCCCCCCCCTTGTTCATTCCCTGTCCCATTGATTGTCTTGAGTGACGTATTCCAGACAGCAGACTCCTTTCCAAATAGTCAATCGCCTTTTAGTCACCACTGACAACCCTGAATGTGGCAATAACACACGCGTGGTGCTAGTGTGCGCCGAAACTTTGTCAATAGTGTACGCTAGTTGGTTCCTGTTCCTCTAAAATTTTCGTCTGTGCTTTTCTGAACCCCTTATTAAAAAAAAATGAAAATCTGACAATATTGTGGGTCCCAAAAAGCATGGAGTGTCAAGGACTGTGCTCACTATAGACACCAAGCGAGAAATGATAGCCAAAGCTGAGAGAGTGGACAGAAAATGGCTGATGTTGCAAGACAGTATGGCTCGAACAGCTCCACAGTATGCACATTATTAGCTAAGAAAGATATCATCAAGAAGACTCAAGCAGCTGAAAGAGAAACGAAAATCACAACTGCGAAGCAAAGAAGTGCCATCCATGATAAAATGGAGAGGTTGCTTTCAGTTTGGATAAATGAAAGGGAAATGAAACGAGATGTAACTAGTATGCCTATCATTCAAGAGAAAGCTAGAGAAATTTTTGAGAAATTGAAAGAACAAACCCCAGGTTCGTCATCTGAGGGGTTAGAATTCAAGGCTAACACTGGCTGGTTCACAAAGTTTAAAAGAAGGTCTGGAATTGAACATGTATTAATGCATGGTGAGTCTGCTAGTGCAGATAAAGAAGCAGCTGAGAAGTACTGTCTCACATTTCAAGAATTCATTGAAACAGAAGGGTATCGTACACAACAGATATTTAATTGTGATGAAACTGGTTTGTTTTGGAAGCGCATGGCAAACCGTACCTACATTACAAACGATGAGAAAAGTGTTCCTGGGCATAAACCCATGAAAGACCGATAGACGTTACTTTTGGGAGCTAACGCTAGTGGTGATATGAAGTTCTCGTTTACCACTCTGAGAATCCCAGAGCATTAAAAAAAAATTCCATAACTAAGAGAAAACTGCCAGTAATGTGGAGATCGAATCAGACAGCACGGGTCACTTTATCTTTTCAAAAAATGGCTATTTAAAGTTTGTGCCCCGAGCATCAAGGACTACCTTGATACCAATGACTTTCCGTTGAAAGCACTGCTGCTATTGGACAATGCACCAGGACACCCAAAAGATCTTGAAGATAATTTGTTGACAGACTTTCCCTGGCTGACAGTTCAGCTTTTACCTCCGAATAGGACTTCGCTGATTCAGCCGATGGATCAGGAGATTATTGTGGCTTTCAAGAAATTGAACACTCGCGCGCTGCTTCGTCGGTGTTTTGAAGCAAGCCAATTCTCCTCAACAATGACTTTAAAAAAATTTTGGAAAGAAAGATTTGACATTCTTGAAGCTATTCATATCATTCAAAAGGCGCGGTCAGAAGTCACACAGTGACAGTTGATTTCTGCTTGGCAGAAGCTGTGTCCATCCTTTGTTCAAGGAGACGGAGGTGATCAGGGAAACACCCCTGAAATTATGGATGAAATTTTGACAACTGCTAGAGATCTGGAATTGGAGGTGAACGAGGATGACATAGAAGAGCTCATAATGGGACATGAAGATGAACTGACGACAGAAGAACTCCAAGAAATTTTGAATGAAGAACACCAAGAAACACAGCGAAATGTGTCTCCTTCTGAACAAGAGGAAGACGAAAGAGGACCAATGCC